CTCCATGAAATTAAAGCTGTTTGAGTGGAAATTTTTAGATCCTAAGTCTATTAGTAATGATTTAGAATTTTTCACCTTACTTAAGAGGTGTTGGTCTAAATTCCTTAATAAGTGAAGCGAAATGACAGAAAAGTGTGAGGAGTGCATGTAAACTCAAGTGAATACCAAAATGGAACCATGGAAGTTAAAGAACTACATATATATATATGTAGTTCTTTATATATATATATATATAAATTTTTATATGTAGAACTATATATAAAATATATATAATTATATATATAAATATTATATATAAATATATAAATTATTTATATGTAGAAATATATATATATATATATATATATACACGCCTGTCCTAAGGGACTGATACAGGAGGAGTCATTGAAACCAACTTCCCTGTTAGCATCGTGCTCAGATGAACACTGCTTGCCCACACCTCCAACTGTCATTTATTGACAGGTTCCTGAAAACTGAGGGGGAAAAGGCAAAAGGTAACCCAGAAATGCAAGAGGCTGAGGAAAAGCAGTAATGAATTTATTTTAAAAAGTTCAAATGTTGTACAAAGGAAAGGTTTAATGAACAGATTTGGGACCAACAACCCAAAGGACAGGAGAGTACTACCCACCCACCCCACCTGCAGTAGCTCTTCCCCTTTTTGTACTTTTGAAACATTGTGAAATGTGTGTCTGTCACTTGTCTGCAGTGTACATGTGCCAGCAATCTGCAAGTGAATTAGAACTTGACCATTCACAGCCTTCGAATATTAGATTTTCTCCAACCTCATCCACCCAACTCCCCAGGCCCTTTATCATGAATACTTTAAAGAAGGAACCTGGTAAACTTCACCCTGCCTGAAGTTCACCCCGTGTAGCTATCAGGCTCAAGGCTGTAGTGGATTTGGTCCTCTTTTCTAACAACTGAGAACTTGAATTAAAAGGAAAGAGAGGGATGGGAGAAGTCCACAATGTAAGGTGGGGACTTGAACAAAAGATTTTTTTTTTTTTAATTAACTGATCTTCATTTCAGCTTGTGTTAGCAAGAGAGCAAACCAGCCACCCATAATGAAAGTTCGCAGGCACCTGGCTTGTCCTACAGGAACTGCAGCCTTTTCGCAATGGAAACCATGTGGCCTCTTGTGCTATTAGCCTTGTGCTGTGGTGTTGCCAACTGATTTCTCCAATTCTCTTTTCTCAGTGGGCTAGAACGCAGCTGATTAAATAGGCCGTGACTCGCATAAGCTCCCGTGTCTTTTTTATTGACTGCTTTATGGAAATGTATCACACTCCAAAGGGTCCCCATTGTTGTTGCTGTGCGTAGCTGACTGAAGAGTCATGTGTAGCACAGAGAGATGGAATCCTACTCTGTCATTTTTTTGTTGCAGACTTGGGTATGGGTGGGATTCAGGGTTTAAAGGAACCTGGATGAGGAAAGAAGGATGTCTGAGAATTCCTTTTATCTTTATCTGCCATGAAAGTTGGGTGGCCATCACTTCTGGGTAACACTTCTCTGTGGATCTTATCTTTATGGCCCCACATCCTTCAACTAAGTGAATCTTTTCTTTATATAGGCTATTGTGACAGTTTTAGTTAAGTGTAGTGGTAGAGAGAGATTATGACACTAACGTAATTCTGTTTTGTGCTGATATAATGGGATACCCCCTTAGGTTTATCCAAGCGGGCCATTTATTCCCAATAAACCTACGTCATTTCTATTTTCTCATTAAGGTGGTGATATCTTTTTTTAGGTAATGGGCAAAAAGCCTTGATTTTTTTTAAGTATACTCAAATATAAATGGTTTTGCATTACAATAGTAATTGTTTATGTCTTCTTCCTATTTTTATTATCTCCTTGCAAAGTATTTACCTGCTTTTATCATGCACTAAGTAGCTCTGCAAATATGCTTACTTGCCAGTAGGTGTCCATTCAGGCAACAAGACTCCTCCTGTCTCATTGCCCCAGGACGGTGGCTAACACGTGCATCCTCAGGATCACCAGTCCTCCTTGGTCAGTGGAACCCTGAACTGACACTGAACAAGGGAAAATAGCTTGACTGCCACAATGGCTTCTCATCTGGGTTGTCTAGAGTCATCTGACAGGTGATGGAGCTGATGAGATTGAGCTCAGAGTCAACTTTATATTGAGAACAATTCTGCTATTGTACAGTGTCTTGCACATAGAAGACAATCAAGAGAATAGAGATTGATTTGATTGGATTTCCTAATTTTTTTCCATAGCCATTCCAAACTTCACCCATAATCCCATTTTTTTCCACTACCCACAAGAGAAACCAGGCAAGAGAGTTCATCAATACAGATTTCCTCTAATAAGAAAGCAACGTAACGCATCTTACAAAAACACAGCATATAAAATAACCACATTTTCCAGTCCTATTACTCTTCAGAATCTTGTTGGTAAATGACCAAGAAAGGAAATTCAGCAACTCATTCAGTGCCCAATTTTAGAATACCAAGTGTGCTGCGGCGGGGAGAAGGTGGTGACGGTGCTGTCCCTAGTCTCCTAGAATTAGCGATTTGAAGTTCAAGCATGTCTGCTACATTATGTCTTTGTTTTCTTGGTGGTGGCATTCTTGGGTTTCGGTTGGTAGGGAAAGAAAAGCCTCATGCTGATAATGTACTGAAAGTAAATGAAATTAAATAAGCGAAGCAGTGCTCATCACTACTTCCTTCCCCCCTGGGTAATTCAATTCAAGCTCTCTCTCTGATGGCAACTCACAGGGACTGTCTCTGTCACCCCGCTGGGGCCTGGAGTCTTAACATCTAAATAAAAGTTTCACTCAAGCATTTTTTATGCTCCTGCCAGCAGGATCAGTGAGCTGGTGTGGGCACATTAATGTAATATTCATACTCACGGACTCTCCCCGCACACGAGGCAATGTCTTCCCATTTTCATAATTATAGATGTTCCATAAAATGGCATTTAGATTTGCATTAAAAAAGGAGGTTTGAATTCTAATAGAACGTTTAACATGTCTTTTATGATTCAGACTCTCAGCATCTTTAACAGGTAGCTGTGTCCCCAAGTATAACAAGACCTTAAAAAAGGAAAAAGGAAAAAAAACCATGGGAAAAAGAGACAGAAACTTCAAGCTTTTCTTATCTCCTGTGTTTTTCATTTAATTTTTAGGCCTCCAGGAACAATTTTTTGACAGTGCTGCAGAGGATGGCCTCTGCTTCCAAAGGCCTTCTCACACACACTGGGCGCTCACCCCGCCCTCAGTAGGATTTGTTTCTGTTTTCTTAGAGAGCATTTCCAAAGAGATATTAAAATTTTTAGAGGCAAAGGTGAAAAGGAAAGGATTCTAGAGGAACTCTCCTTTGCTGCTGTTGATCTTGTGTGTGCATCCTATGACCCATCTGGGAGGATTTATAGCAGCCAGAGTCTGCTAACTGTAAAACACAAAAATGAAATCAGCCCATGAACAAGGAGGTTGACAATAAGGACAAATAGGATAAAGAATCAGGTACCTAGACACACTGAAAAAGAAAAAGAGAAGCCCTTCTGATTCACGTATCTAAAACTAAGCTTAGGATAGCTTAGAAGCAAGAGGTAATTTTAGTTTCATATACATTGTCTTAAAATGTTATTTTTAAATAAAAACTATGTAAAGCACTGAACAAAGTAGGCATCACTGAGTTAAAGTCAGTTATTATAGGAGACATTCAAAAAAACAATTATGTAATTGAAAAAAAATTATTCTACCCAGAAGTCCCAAGATATTGTATAGGTCAGGGATTTTTCAACCGGTGTGCCACAAGAATTTTTAAAACATGCAATACCTGACTATTTAGTCAGGGGCACTGACCTCTTTTCCCTTAGATTGTCAAACAAAAAAATGTCAACAGCCAACACAATAGCCATCAGTGTAAATGAATCAAAATTATACCTATTTTTTTGTCAGATCAGCAAAATATATATTTTTTTGATGTGCCACAGAATTTTAGTAATTAGTTTATGTGTGCCGTGAGATGAAAAAGGTTGTAAATTGCTGGTATAGGTTGTGCCTTAATTTGGTTTGTATTTTGTTTGCTTTCTAAATTTTTTAAGGTAAATCAAGAGATTTGGGTTTGTGGACTAAAAAGAATAAATATTAAGATAATACTAGCCCACCCCCTTCATGTCTCCTGATTAAGACATACAGAATTATATATTTTAAGAGGTTTTTTTGTTTTTTATTGTTGTTGTTTTTCATTTTACTTTTTGAGGAATAAATTCCTTCCTCTTTGTCCTTTGCCCCTCCCTTCTGTAAAATAAGTATAAACTACAGTGGTAGAAGATGGATTAGAATCTTGACTTCTCAATAAATTTGTACCTAATGAGGCTAATTGAAAGCCAAGAATGTTAGCAGAGTGCAATTAAAGACTGGTTTCAGTTCCAGTATCTTCTCTTTGTAAAGGCTCCTACCATTCTTACACACTCTTTCCCATACTTTGACAAAACCAGGATTTGGCCATTATTGCCAAGTTCAGCTGGCATAGCCTTTCTTTGTGTGAACTTAATAAAATTTATGTTCACTAAGGTGGCAGTTTGTTTAAAAAAAAATGAATGTGTGTTTATTGCTCCTGAGGTAACTGTGTTCCTGGTGAACACTATCAGTCATTAAAGCTTGTCTGTGCTGGTAGCTATTCATTTGACTTCTGATTATCTCAGTGTGGATTATCCAATTTGGAGCTCATAGCCACAGCAAATTCTGAATTCTCTGGCGTCCTTTTGTTTCCGATCAATACATATTTAGGCTACCTCATCTTGTACAAACTAAGTTATGTTTAGATGATTTTAAGAGATTTTAGCATTAGATATAAGTGGGAAGAAAGAAAATTTACTTTTTTTCCCAGTCATCTAGAAGATGTTTTATTTTGTGCTGTGTTTAAGCAATTGCCCTTCTGTGCCCCTTCATTAATGCAGATTATCAAAAGTAGCCTAAATAAATGAAAATTCTGTCAGGTTTCAACAAAGCATTTTGCTGTTGTTCCTTTTAGGAATGGAAGACATCACAAGAGGAGCTCAAGAGCTTGATAACGTCATCAAGCAAGGATACTTGGAGAAGAAAAGTAAAGGTACTGATCAGACTCGTAAATCTCAGAACATTCCAGAAAGGGAAGGGAAATGAGGAAAAAGAGGGCTAGTATAACAGGTGCCTTCTCTATGTCCAATACTGGGCTAGGCAGGTAGAAGGCAAAAGGAAGGGAAGAAAAGAAGTCTGGTGTGTAGACTGAAGAGAAATGACTCAAAATCTTCAGCAGATCGTGAGCTTCACAACTGGGAGTGGTCCTACCCTGCTCACTTCGTACAGAACAGAAGCTGAATAAATGCTTGTTGAATGAATGAACGAACAAATGATATTCTTGTCCTCATCTCTCAATGTGCTCCCATGAAGAGTGAAACTATATTACCAAGAGTATAATTTTTACATCATGTGTGAAGCAGCCACTTTCAAGTTTCAGACGGGCTCAAACCTTAACCTCTCTCTCACTTAGAATAAGCACTACGGGGGCCGGAGTACCAGGTTTAACACACAACACGCTAACTGGCCTGGCACAAAGAAAGCCTTTCTTGGGCCGATGGCCTACAGCATCATTTTGATTTGCTAAAAGGCAACACATAACATCATGACGAATTTGAAAAGTACAAGATGAGGTTTGAAGCTGAAATAAAAGAAGACAGACAGCTGTGAGGGGTCAGAGCGGGCAAACCCTGTTTAGAACTAGGGCCTTTAACTGAGCGAGTCCTCTGGACCCTGAGTCAATATGGGATAACCTGTGGGAGTGAAAGGGAGGGTTTTACAGTCCATTAACCTGGGAAATAAAACAATAACACGCTGGACTGTGTGTTGTTGGATTTTACGGACTCTTCGGTGATTGTAGTTACCTGAATTTATGTCCCTTACTGCTGTTCCATTTAGATCATAGTTTCTTTGGATCCGAGTGGCAGAAGAGATGGTGTGTTGTCAGCAGAGGCCTCTTCTACTACTATGCTAATGAGAAAAGTAAGTGTTCTTCATTTGCACAGCAGCATCTCACTCCTGGATACAAACACTTCGTAAATTCTCAAGCACTTAGATCTCAAGATAGCAGTCCTTAACTAACACCCATAAAGGGACCTGCTTGGGAAAGAAATAGGCTTGAGTAAATTATACCTTGCCTATCACCAAACACTCAGATGCCAATTTAGAATTTATCTCCCCTTAAACACTAGGATATCGAGGTCAGCATATCTAAGGCTTATATTTTATTATGATTAATAACAGCATTATCAAGGTTAAACACTTTGGCATTCTTTTTTCTTAAAGGACCTCAAGCTCTTAATAATATAGTTAAATATTGAAACTAAATTAACTCTGAGAAAGATTTAAACAGCGTACCAATGGCCCAGATAAAGAACTCTCAAGTCCAAACCCTCTAAGAGCACGCTCCAAACTTTATTCTACTGACTCCTGGGAAGTAGTCCAGTGGACATCCCTAGAGCCATGGAGTGTTGAGACCCATAGCGTCGCTGTGCTCAAGAGACACCCTTCAGCCAGATGGCAGCCACAGCAAAGTGTTGACTCAGGGCAGAAGCAGTTTCTGATCAGCCACCACTGACTCAGTCAAGCACAACACTCATGAGCTACCCCTAGAAGATCCCCCATCCGTGCCTAACACAGTTGCTTAATTCAGAAGAAGGAATGGACGATATAAGCACAAGTTGAAGCACAAGCTAAAAATGATCACTGTAGGTGAATGCAAACTTTCAAATAGGGTATCCTTCTCCAGAGTCAGACTGCTCCAGGAGTGATGCTGCAAGGCAAAGGGGGATGAAGAAAAGTAAAACATCAGGGGGTTTTTTGCGGGGGAAGTGGCGATTTCCTTGTGCCCTACTTACTGCCTGGGTACAGAGACCAGTGATCCAGAGTCAATTCTTTCTTTTCCTTCCAATCATTTTCTGCTTCTCCTGTCTTCCTTCTTTCCCAGACATTTTCTGCTCCCAGTGCCTGGATATCCAGTCTAGGAAATAATAGATGTGTATACCCCATTGCCTTTGGACTTTCTGTTCCTTTGGCACTAAGGTAGCAGAAAAGACTGCAGCTTTGCTAAAGGACTTGGGATCCTTAAGATTTGCCCTCGGGCCTTGAGGCAATTACCTCACCTTGCCTCTCTGCCTATAGCAGGCATCCCTGACCTTCACCTTGGAGTCCCCATCTTGGATTCCTCAGTCTTTCCCACCCTAGGGATAAAGGGTGGAGCCCTACTTGGAAATGATATGAGCATAGATCAAAAACCAAGTAACAATTTCCCTAGCCAACCCCAGCCCACTTTCAAATCCAGTAACCACAATTTCTCCCCTGAATTCTAGGCATACCACCCAGCCAGGTGTGATTTCTTATTTTAAACCTTCAAACTAATATAAAATTTATGTCTTTGTAAAAATGTCCATCATTTCCCTTGCATTTAAATAAGTGGTTGGCATTATCTGGGTAGAAAACAATGTATCATGTTCATTTATTCAGGATCCTTTACACTCAAGGTAAGAGAGAACAAGAGCAAGAGACTAGGAGACTTTTATTGACCATTTTGCTGTCAGGGTAAAATAAAATCTGGTGACCAAAGAAACAACAAAACATTTTAGTGGCCACTTAGAACAAGGTGAGATACTTTAACAAAAAAGATTCTGGTGTCAAAAAGCACCGTTGCATGGCTCCCTTCTCGCCAGTTACTTCTTATTGTACCCAAGACATTTTCTTAGTAAGTGTAGAGTGTTTGTGTGTTTCTTTTAGCTCAACCAGGTGAGGGCAGAATCTTTTCTTCTTTTCTTTTAATTACTGTCAGCCCACTGCCATCCTTATCATCATCATCATCATCAACATTCACTTGTTAAGCAATTCATTCCATGGTACAGGACACAAAGCATCACCCAAACACTGTGCCGCCTGTCTTCTGTGCGTTCTGCCCGAACCACACCACGAGGACACAAAATCCTTGGCAACCACCCCTTCTTTGCCTGTATCTCATATTTTTTTAAAGGGAATGACAGGCAGAGTGCTGCTCCTTTCTTTCACTTAGGGTCCTTTGCCTTTTGTCTCCTTCTACATCATCTGATGGTACTCAGCAGTACTCTGCCACTTCCCAATTTGACCTCTTGGAAGGAGGATAAAATACTGAGTTTTAATTATTCTCCCTCTAGCATAAATCCCCACCTGACCAGCAGGAGGGGGAGAAAGGCCCAGCCCAAATGCTGCACAGGGCACAGGAGGAGATCCTGGGGACTTACCCCCTGTGCTGCCACCCTCCCCTCAACTGTGAGCTCTGCTGGACCTGATGATAATGTTTCATTTCTATAACAGCCTTCAAGAGCATCACGTTTACAGCCACACTCTCCCTGCTGTAATAACTCCTTCTTTCTGTTATTATAGATATCTTAACATTCTAATAAATTCTCTGTCTCTGTTGTACTCTTTTGGCAAAATAACCTTTCATGTAGCATTTCCCTAGCTTGGCAGTGATATCTGCCTCGCTGTCACAGTAGCCTCTTCTTAAGCTTCCCTAATAACCTTTCCTTGGCTGTTGTGGTTCCTCAGGGATGTAACAGCTGTGCCTGTGCTTTTATTTTACATACCAGAGAAGATGCCTTCCCTTGGCAGTTGTGTCTCTCAAGGGATACAAGGAGCTTTCCTGTCTTGCAGGCAAGCAGCCCAAAGGGACCTTTCCCATTAAGGGCTACAGTGTACGGATGGCCCCCTACCTGCGAAAAGATTCCAAGAAAGAATCCTGCTTTGAACTGACCTCCCAGGACAGACGCAGCTATGAGGTAGGACGAACTGGGGAGATGGCGGTCCTCATTAGCGTCGCCACCTCCTTCCATGTTGCATGTGCAAGTGGTTGCTATGCCAGCTTCCATCCTCTCTGTTACCAGCGCATTTTCTACCAAGACCTTCTTTCTTGACATGTCCTTGCCTTTGCTATGTTATGCCCTCCCTTCTCCTGTCTGTTGCCAGTCTCATCCTAGATGCTGCCTCTGCTAGGCTCCCATCTCCTCATCCCTCCTCTTCCTTTTCTTACTCCAGAGGAAAGAGCCTGGTCTAGTGTAGCACACAACCTAATTCCTCACTCACAGCCTCTAATTTCATGGCTTTAATTCCTTTTCTCTCTATTTTTCAATTGATTATCTTCAATTCTTTCCATGAAATCCAGAAAAAGAAAAATCTGACTGTCAAGTGAAAACTAATTTATTTTCCCATATTCATTTTGCTATCCAAAATAATCTTCCCGTGTGTGGATGCACTGCATATCTCTGGAAAGATTTCTAAGATATGAGTGACAATGATTACTGAATAGTAATAGTGATAACTGAGGGAATAGGCCTGGGGGGGTAAGAAAGATTTATTCCTCACTGTATTCATTTATAATATATTTTGATACAATATAAAATATAATGTGTAATGTATTTATTACCTATTACAAAAGTAAAGCAATAAAAAAAATCTGACTATGAAAATACAGTGATTTTCAACAAAAATATATTTGTGTGCGTGTATATACATATTATTTCCTGCTTGTTGGTAAAATTTTACTAACATTATTTAGAAAACCTTTAGCTAACTTGTGAAAAAGAGAAAAACTATGCTAAGGTTAATATTAACCACTTACATAGCCCTTTGACTCCCAGTTTTTCTCAACATTCATCCCTTTATATTTCCACAGCATCTTAACTCTTATTTTGTTAAGTGACCTATGTCTTCATTATATAATTGAAAAATTTTTTAATTTAAGCTATTATATAGAATCATTTATGGATATATATAAAACAGACATATGCACTGAGTATGTTTCTAAGTTATTTTTATTATTCAGTTCTGACAGTGCATCATCCAGATAAAAATTTATATGACAAGTTTAAATCCATTTCCCTAGACATTTTTTATAGAAATGTGTTTTTAAGAAATCGAGAATGACAATGTCTATTAATAAGTATTAAGCAGGAATATAAGTTTCTAATACAGCACATACCTTTCTTTATCTTACCCAAATGGCCAGATAATAAATATGTTTTCAGGAACAGTCATTTCAAGTTGATTCATTTAAAATAAAAAATTACTAAGAGTTGATGCCTGACTGGCCTGTTTTGTGCATCAGAATGTAGAGTTTGTTTACTTCTTCTTTTCTTTGGCCCATTGAATCCCAGTCATTATCATGGTCTGTGGATTCTTCCTCTGCAATATCGTTTGGATCTTTCCCCTCTTTTTATTTCCAGAGCCATCACAATAGTTAAGCCCTTATCAGTTCACCCAGAGGATTAGTTAAATAGTCTTCCAGTTGGTCTTCTGTCTCCAGTTCCTCCCTATTCCAATCCGTCCTGTCCACAACTACTGAATCCCCTGCTCCTTTCGCTACAGTTTACAGTGGCTTCCTATTGCCTACATTGTAAGTCTGAACTCCTACTTTCATCAACTCTTCTCTGACCGTTAACCCTCCAGATTCATCAGTTATTGTTCTCCAGTCAAGCTTAACTGCTACCTTCTCTACACATGATGGTCTCACTCCTAATATTCTGCATGTGGTTCTCTGTACCTAAACTGCCCAGTTCCCTCCACCAGTTTCCAACAACTCTTTTTAAAATCCAACCAGAACAACCCTAGCCAGGTAGTTCAGTTGGTTGGAGCATTGTCCCGATACACCAAGGTTGTGGGTTTGATCCCTACTCAAGGCACATACAAGAAACAACCAATGAATCAATGAATGCATAAGTAGAACAATGGGTTAGTGTTTCTCTCTCTCTCTAAAATCAATACATAAATAAAAAATCCAACCAGAACAGTATTACTTCAACAAGCTTCCCTGCTTACTCTAGGCAACAAGTACTCCCTATCTTCTCTCAACATTCAGCTGTTATCAAATGAACTGTCTTTAGAGTGTTTCCATTTCAAGTATGTGTGTTGTCTCCATAACTGATGCATTATTCCTTGAAGTTAGGAATTTTTGTTTGCTTTTTTTTCCCTATAAACTCTTATCAAATACATGTCTGATGAATGAATGGATAATCAAATGAATGTACATGGACATGAATTCTGGACTCAAATAGCTGTCAACATTGGATATACAAAACTGCTGAAGGGAAAAATCACTTTGAATATTTTTATCTTTTTTCAAAATATTAAGCAGGAAGAGAATTCTGAACTTTCAACATGACTCTGAAACTTAACTCAAAAGCTCCCTCCCTTGAACATCCCAATAGGATCCATGGAAATTTTAGTGAAGGTGATAAACTAATTCACTAATTTTTCTCTAGTTTACAGCCACTAATCCTGCTGAAGCCAGAGACTGGGTGGATCAAATAAGTTTCTTATTAAAGGGTAAGTATCATTATTATAGAAACAATACTTGAGTTGATTTGCATTTGAAGTTATATGGCATAAATATGGCATAAATAAATCCACATGTTTCAATATGTGGTTTTTTTCTGCTCCCTTCTACCCTCCCTACCACATCCCTTGTATGACAACAAGTAATTGCCATGTATAAATCAGAAAGTATAGAAACCAACCGTCAACCTGGAGATGACCTCTGATATTATTCCAGTGCATCCACTTAGCTACAGACAAGTCTGTAATATTCATAATCACTAGAAAAGGAGATTCTGAAAACCAGCTCAGCTCAATTTAGTGTCTCCTAAGCCCTTATATTCTGGAAAGGAAATTCATGCTATCAAACTTAAGTCATCTAGATGCAATTTAGGTCCAAAATCTTCTTGTTTTGGTCTTAGTAGGAAATAGCAATCTAACTCACCTAGGTAGCCCTCAACACCATTGAACATTAAAAACAAACTGCTATTCCCAACCCACAATAAAATGCTCCTTGCTTTAGGATGGGAAAAGTCCTGCCTGAAGACGTTAAACGACTGCTCTTAGACTACCCTCTGCTGGCCAGCCTGTAGGCACAGCAGTGGCAGTGGCCCAGGAAGCTTTGTCTGGGTGTGGCCTGGCAGGTAGAAGTAGCCAACCTTGAGTGTGTCACTTGTCCTCAGATGACCCCTGTAACAGCATACATCACGGCAGGGCCATACCTCTACAGGAAGACAGAAATACCAACTTTGTACATGGCCCACAACCTGGGGAGAAGCATGTCTACCTAAAAACACCAAGCCTTTGCATCTCTGTTTTTTATTCTGCTCTAAGATTTTATTGTGGATAAAAAGGAAGAAGCACCAGAGCTTTAATTACAAGAATTGCCTATTTTACTCAGTTTATGCCTTTGCTATCACAAAAACAAACTATTGCTTCTACCAAGAGCGTCACGTATAATAGACTGGAACTAGGCAAACATGAACATTGATGGCGAGACTACAGGGTACACTCTCATCTAGGTGCCTTAGATTTATGCGTGTAATATACCCCTAAGTGTGTAAACCTCAATAAAACTCAAAGCAGCTTTATTGAGCTGTACCCTGTGGTACTTTCAGAATTCCACATTGAAGAAATTATTCATTCCATTTTATTTTAAAACAAACAAAATAATAACATATGGTTTAAGCCACAAATGTGTCTTTGATCCCTTCCTCATATGAGGTGGCACCAGAATTCAGATGAAAATTGTTGCAAAATCTTTATTAAAAGCCTAATCAAGCCAAACAGTTTTATTGTGTTTTGAAATGAACGTCGGATGTCTCTCCATCCTGCCCTTCCCTAGGGTCCCCTGACTGCACTCGCCCATCCCGCAGAGGTCCCTCAGCAGGGTTTCAGAGAGCACTCTGTACTGCACATCGGAGAATGAACCTTCCCAGTTCCCCATTAAAATAAAAAACCAATCTCCCTCCCCTGCCCTGAGCTCCCCAGCGCTGCAATGTCTCAGCATCCTCTATGCGGTGACCCACTTTAAGGTCAGCCAGACTGCACAGCTGAAAAAGGACATGGTAACCACCTCGCTAAGCCATTCCATTTGGTCTTGTATTGCTGTTATATTTTTTCCATATCTTGCTTTCTCTTCCTCTTCCACTATTGCCCTTTTTTTCTGTTTACAAGAAAACTTGTCTGAAATTCTGCAGGGAGATCATGGGAGAGACGGGCTCCTGACAGCCCAGACTCCCTGCAGAAGGCACTGTCGTTCCCACAGCTCTGTGTGCCCTGGAGAAGCACAGGCCATCACTCACCCTTCCAGTTTTCTCCTTGACGAGCAGTGCGTGGCACGCTGGCACTTCCTCCCCTGGCCTATTTTCTTCCCTTCACCTCGTGCGTTCATTCGCACACCCATACTTTTCAGAGCTGCTTCATCCTGATCAAGTTTTATTGCAAGGAAGGATTTATGTTGATGGTTTAAACCTGACGCAGTGCTAGTCTGGCCTTTCCTGTAGATTTCCTGCCACCAAGGCCCACATTAGAAATAATAGCACTTAACCTAGTGTTTCATTTTTTTCTGACATGTTTTATTCTCATCCCCCCTCCTCCTTCTCCCTCTTTTCTTCCCCTGCCTTATTCCTTTCTTTTTCTCCCTATCTTGATTCATTCTCATCTCTACCTTGGCAGATCTGAGTTCCTTAACCATCCCATGTGATGACGAGGAAGAGGAGGAAGAAGAGGAAGAGATGTATGACGATATTGATGGTCTTGACTCCCAGAATTCTGGCCCCCAATGCAAACGCATTTCCTTGCCTGGGAGTATGGGGCTAAAGCAGCCCTCAGAGGAGAAAGAAGAAGAGGATATTTATGAAGTCTTACCAGGTGAGAAACTTCATGTTCTAACTATATTCCTCAACTTTCAGAAACTCTTAGCCTGGTAGTAGAATATAACCCTAAAAACTCCAGAGGAAGCCGGATCCCTAAAGGAGAGCGTGTAGGGGAAGCTTCTGTGGAGCCTCCATGGCTCGCAGTCTCCCCCTGCCCTGGGAGCAAGGTGAACTAATCGGGAAGGGTCTCTCATCTGGACCATGTGAGGTAATTTATTAAATTTGTCAACACGGTGAAAGAATTAAGAATACTTATGTCGGTTTTCATTGGTTTACTGTGAGTTTGGGTGTGAATCGTCAAAACTCTAGTTGCAACTTCTCTTCTGTGTAATCGTGAGAATGATAGTTGCCTCAAACGGACAGATATTAAAAGTCTGAAGGAATATAGATAAATGCCGAGGGGCCTTTTCTGTACCCTCGCAAACCCTGGTGGAGCACAACTCATTATGTCCTGATCAGATATACTACGGATCCAATTGTGTCTCTTACAAATAGCCCTGACGTGCTTCCTCGCCCACCATCACAGCAGGTCTACTGTGCGCATTTCTTCTGTTCCAAAGGCCTGATAACCGGCATCTCAAAAAATGTACAGTCATCACTGCTTCCGCAGAGCCACTTCTTGTGGGGATAGCAGCAGCTGTTGAACAGTGCGGAGCACAGTGGGGGTCAGACTGTAGAAAACCGGAGCCTGTGCCTTTTAATTGTGAGGTAGTTAGACCGCAGGAACGCTGAATCTTCAAGTCCATTCAGAAAGATGGCTCCTGTGGAAATTTGCCAGGAGTTCAGTGCTCTGCTGAGAAATTCAAGTTAAGCCTAAATTTATAGCAATTTAAACTTCAATCCAGATAAACTTAGGAACTAAGGTGAATCTAACACTCGAGCTCCTGAACACAGGGCTGTGGCTAAAAAGCGCCCTGAGTAGGAAGCCTGTGTCTCAGGGCTTCCTAAGAATAAGGTCCAGCCCTGTCTGTCAACATTGTGTCTGTCCCTTCCCTGGGGGAGAAGCCAGCCACAGCATCGCTTCCAGCATCAAGGATCGGGGCTGCGGCCCCACATTTTCTCCTTGCTGGGACCTCACCCGCCCACCACCCACCACCCACCAAGCAGAGTCTGCTTCTCCTCCTAACACTTCCAGCCTCCGCCAGTCCCAACTTCCCCAGCCTTTTTGTTGTGTTTTATTATGCAAATGATATCTTGGTTGAGGTCGAGCCATTTCTTGTGTCTGAAGTTAAAAAAAAATGATAATTTCCTCAGCAAGTCATCGTCGTTAATGAAGTTTTACAAAAACAGATACAACCAAAGGAAAATAAAATTTCACAGGTGATAAATTTTTCCAATTTCCCTGGCAGAATTCGATAGGATTGTTAAATTAAGAGTGAAGGTGTCTGTTAGAAAGCAACGAGCAGTGATGGGTAATTTTATAGAGTGGAAAATTGAATCAAATTGCTACATTAAAACACAGCTCCTCTGAGAATCTTCCCTTTCACAGTCTGCTCCATTGCAACAGCAGGGTGCAGAAATGGATCTAATTCACAACACTCCCTAAAAGGAGATGTACTCCCCAACTTGGCCAGAATCTTCCCAGCCAGCTCGGGTTCTTGTTCGCTCCTGCCCAGGCTTGGGGAAACATCCGTGTGACACTCTACTTTGGGTCACAGCTGGGGAAGAGTGCTCTGGGAAAACCTCCCTGAAGCACTCAGCCTTCCGGGAGCAAAGAAGGACCTTTCCGTGCACCGTGTTTAGTTCCCAAAGGACCCAGCGGGGGAGGGGTCTGATGGCGCAGAGGAGTGGAGCAAAGGAGAGTAAAAGGACAGAGACTTCAAAAAGTAAAATGAGTTTTGCCCTGGCGGGTGTGGCTCAGTGGATTGAGCACCAGCCTGCGAACCAAAAGATCACCGGTTGCCAGTCAGGGCACATGCCTGTGTTGCTGGCTAGGTCACCATCGATGTTTCTCTCCTCTCTTTCTCCCTCCCTTCCTTTCTCTCTAAAAAATAAATAAGTAATCTAAAAAAAATAATAAGATGAGTTTTGGATCATCGCCTTACCCCAGGCGGGCCAACAGTGTACGATTGACTTCCTGACCACCGTCCTTCCCCTGCCTTTGAAGCGCTTTCCCACGGCCATCGTGGGCCTGCCCAGACTGCCAGGGCCTTCCTCCCGAAAACCATGCGCGTCCTGGGGGCGGGCTGCAGGGGCCTGGAGATGGGTGAGCTCTCAAGGAAAGCCACTTACCCTGTGCTCACAACTGTCCCTTGGAAGCAAGGAAGGACTCGCTGTAAGAGGGCCGGGGTCTTCTTCTCCAGGCAGCTAATTTGTTTATAAGTTTCCAAAGGACAGTGCTATACCCAACTAACAGGTTTTTTTCCTAAAAGCCTCCCTCCACCTATCACAGTTTTCAGAGAGAGCACTGGACGTGAGAATACATTGGCATTTAATTATGATAGGAAATTTCAGCCGTAAGTCTCCCTCACCCAGCTTCCCATGCACTCCACTCACATTTTTGCCTCTGAAATTGCTGTTAGTTTTGCACGTGCCACACTGCCCACGCTGGAGGAACTGAGGGGGAATGGGAGGCTCTGAACATCATCTCCTCCCCGCCACCATCTTGCAAGACCACCTGCTGAGCAGTGGCATGTGAGGGACAGCATGGTATCTCATGTAAAAGCACTGGCTCTAAGTCAGGATAGATGTGCTCTGCTGTCTGCTAGCTGTGAAGCCCTAGGCAAGTTATTTGCCCTCTCTCTGTGCGACTTTGCCTTCTGTAAACTGGGGATAACAACAGTAGCTGTGGTAGAGGGACGCCATAAGAAATCTAGGACCAAGGTGTGTAAAGCTCTCAGAGCAGAGTCCTGGCATACAGTGAGCACTCAATAAATGCTGGCTATTATTAATTCGGTGGTGCTTAAATAGGAAGTGTTACTTCCTTGAAGAGTTGGGGATAGCTAGTTTCCTGCCTCCACCAAGCAGACCTGAGACAATCCAGTTGGGACATTTTTAGCTCTAGATATGAAGCAGGTGAAATTGAAAATTCGGAGCAGATGGAATGTGCAGCATAACCTCCTGCTCAGGCCCATTTTTATTGTGAGGACAGGTGCGAGGTAGAGGGACAGCCGACAATAGCGTTGGATTGTGTTAGCACTGCACACCCATCAATAGTCAAATGACTTGGGCCCCTAACACTTGTTTCATTATAATAGGTCAATGTGCTTTGTAGAGGCTCTTTAGTATTGATGGTTCTGTCTCCTTCCTTTTTGGCTTGGGGCTTATACAAGCCTCACGGTCTCTGTGTTGAAGGCCTTGTAAGTGACATTTCCCTCAGTGGGCTTACTAGTAGAGAGAGAAGTGCCTGTAACACATAATAAGCCAATACAAAAATATTTTTTCCTAATCAAAATAACGTATGGGTCATCAAATTAAATGTACTACATCACATTAATCATAGGATAATTAGCATTTGCTACATGGAGAGCATCCTTCTTCCCATGAGAGAAAACCAGAGCACTCGAGGTTTTCAGCCAAGACCACAAAAATGTTCATCCTGGATCATGTGGTTTCAAGGTTGGTATCCGGTGGGATTTCTGAACATCCGTGTTGAGCATATGGGGGCCCTTGATTTTTAAGATCTCATTTGCAGTAGATTAAACTGCAGGGAACTACCACAAAGAAATGCTAAAGCAATATGTGGAAAATGGCAGGCTTTTTCTCAGCCTGCTCTCACCCCTCCCCAAAATTATTTTACAGGCTAGCACAGGCCCAGTTTCACGATTCGAGATTCCATAAAAGGACAACTTTTATCAGGTTTCTCTTTGGGGCCTTGAGGCCGGAATCCAGCAAGGCGCCTGAGACCATTGAAGAGCTGTAACTAGGGCCTCGCCGCAGCTGCAGTGGCGACGGAATCCGGCTGTGTCCTCTAGAGAGATTTCAGGAGAGCAAACAGAAAGAGAGACAAAGAGCCCTCCCTGGGAATTTCTGTGCACATTCCAATGCTGCCCGCACTGCCACTGAGGGTTATTATAGACCCAGAAACCAGATTGCTTTAGAATAAAGCATATAACTGGGTTTAGTTTTTTTTTTAATTTGACTCTAATGGAAACAAGCATTCTGTGGAATTATTTTCCCCCTGTACAATTGTCCAGACCCACAGGAAGGGGAAACAGCGATCATAGGAGGTCTAAGGAAAGAAAACAGCAGACACCAAAAATACAAAGATTATGAAGAAAGCAAATTTCAGTTTCATAGAAAAGCAACACTGCATGAGGGGAACATCAAAGGAGAGTCAGCGCCACCATGAAGCCCCCTCCGAGCACCCCGGCCTTTTGTCTGTCTCTCTCCAGCACACTGGGTCCTAGCCACACGGCGTTGTTTGGCCAGCACCAAAACCAGACTCATGCTGTTTTCTTCCAGCTAGAATGTCCCCCACTGATCTCAGCTGATGAAATCCTACACATTGTGCTCAAAAGTGTCTCCTCAGTGGCTCAGCTGGAATTGAGTGCTGCTTTAGCCTTTGCCGCAGGGATTTGTATTCAGGTCTTTCTCCCCCCAATTAGTAGGCACTCAACTATTATTTGTGAAATTAAGTTCAGTGCGTTCCAAGTATTGCAGTTAGCAGCAATTGAGTTTAATATCTTGTACATCAAGACCATACCACAGAGATAGGATGCAAATATTTTAAGGTAGCAGTTGGGATTACCAAATACACACCAGAGAATTAAATGTGTTATTAGCATCTTGCTCGTATTTTCCCTGTTGTCTAAAGAGGTGCTATAGCACCCTCAGATTTATAACATAGATGTGCATGCCATGGTGTGGCTTCTACTTCTGCTTTTCTGCATGTTCCCTTTGCACTTCGAGTCTGTGTTTCTGTTGCATCTGTTACCAGAGCACCTTGACATCTGGTTGCACATTGATACAGTTGGCATTTTTTAAGCTTCTGTCACTTTACTTTGTGCGGGGGAAGTGATCTCCCCCTTTCTGATCTAGTCATTTTTTAATGTTCCTCTCTCTGCATTGGCTTAGCCAATGTCAGAGCAGCACTTCAGGAAGGAGCCAGGTGTCATGGGAAGCTGGCTCCTCTCTGTGCCCCCGAAGTGGAGTCAGTGTCCTGTTCCTCTCAGCCTCTCATTAGCATCCCTGACATGGTGCCAAGAGTGTTGATTGAAATCAACTCTCTGGATGCTAGTGCTCATTTGTGATGCCTCATGGTTCTCTTACACGTTCGCACAGTTAACAGAATCTTCCTCAACTGTTTTCCCAGTTGAGATGAGATATTTGGGGATCAAGCAGAGCATTTAATGTAATAAGTGGACAATAATCTTTGGAGGTTAATTTGTTTAAAACCTATGTAAGGTTGGGGTCCCATATGCCCTGTTAGGAGCAAGGGCCATTATAATCTATTACTGTTTAAAGTTGAGCTAGCACATAAATTTTAATTCTCTCTTAAATGAAGATGTATTTCAGTAGATGTAATGCTAAGATGCCTAGTAATATTCTTCTAAAGAAGTACAATAAGCTTTTAACCTAAAAAAATAATTTTTCCAAATATTCTCTTTAGAACTAAAGCCTCATGTTACAGATGAATAAAATTAGAAATTTGGCTGTTTAACCCACCCTCTCCTGTGAGCAATGAGACTTTTTTTTTTTCTGTTGCCATATAATCAGTTTTCTTGGCTTTGCAGTTTGAAACGTACCAATTTGAATCATTGAAGGATGTGAGGTGAATTGTATGCCTCTCGGCTTGTATCATGCCCTCTAAGGCAGGGAAGGTGCTAAGAGGTGTGCCCTTCACCCCCAGCTGTGGAGGACGCTTTCCTTCACTATGGGATGGAACCTCCGCCCTCACTCTTTCAAACACAGCAGAAGCACAGCACCCAGCCTCTCACATCAACAGCTAGGCTTCTTGACTGGAGCCCACTTCAGCCACCTGGGAAGGACCACGTTAGGTAGAACAGATGTGGGGATGGGAGCTTCCCCATTCACATCCATCACCGTAGAGCTTAGCAATGGTGGTGAATGATATATAAGATCTACGGCCAGCATTTTGCTTTCTTTCTAGGTGTCTCCATGGGCACAATGGAAATCAGAGTGTTTGGTCTGGAATTGAACCCCATAGAACAGATTTTTATTTTTTCCATTTTTGTTTCATGACTAGATTAAGCGCTGCTGCCTGGAAGGATAAAAGAATCAAGTTTTAGTTTTCATTTTTATCATTGCAAATACATTTACATTCTCCTATTTTACAAATGCAAAGAGCAGGCAAGCCACTTTCAATAATTTATTTTAAAATCAATGCTAATGAGGTTATGTCTCGTCAGTGGCCGAGTTTTACAATAAAGTCTGATTTATTTAGAAAAGATCTTCGGTGTAGCTTCCCATCTAATGGTGGTGGGAAGGAGGTGGAGTAGCAGGCACGGTGACCCTCCAACTTCGGATCCAATTTGTAATTCACAGCGGAGATCTGACCCAATTTACATTGATTAGAATTGGGAGGAAGAGACATCTGCGCACAGACAGCAGAGGTGGAATAAACGCTCGCTGCAAAAGTGCCTAAGCACAGCAGATTATTGGGCTTGGTGACTGAGTTGCTTGATATCAGCAAAAGAGCTGCTCTCCATCCAAATTATTGGGTTTCTCTAAAACGGAGGACGTACCAACTCTTAAGAGCTGTTTTCAATCCTGTGAAATTGGTCCCATGTCAAAAAGGAAAAGCATCGTAGCAGAGGAAGGAAGGAAGTGGGCAAGCAACAAGAAGACGATGTGCAAAGAATGATGTTCAACATGATTTATTTTATTGTGATCTGTTTCTGATATTTGATTTCACTCCTCCAATATCTCATCTTTATTCCTAATGGAGGGGTGCAGAGAGCACTACAAGTGGCAAGGAGGAAATTCCATGCTGCTTGGTCATACATGGAGATAAGAATGAGTCAAAGCATCTTGTAGGGTAAACATATATACATATATTTTTACCATGCTAACAGGTGAGTTACTCCACCAGAATATTAATCCTTTGGTGTTTATTTCTGCAGGGGAATTGTATCATTTTGTATATAAAATCAATTATTTCTTTAATAGTCTAAAATATTTTTATGCTGTTTCTTCTTATTTATAAGCTTAGAGTTTATTTCCCCCAGTCTGACATATTAGAATTTATATTGCCCTATAAGCCATATATTTTTAAAAACAGTGGGGGGGCACTATCCCCAAGCCAGCTCCTCAAAAAGTTCCATTCAGTGGCATAACTATGGGGAAGTCAGACAGGTAAGTGCCCTAAGACCCAGAAAGAGAAGGGAAATTTACCAGAAGAAACTAAGTATTCAGCTCTCAGAATGATACTAATTATGTGCCATCCACTGTGTGTGTGTGTGTGTGTGTAAGGACTCATTCTTTCTTTATAAAGGCCTAATGTTACCAGATAGTATGAAGTCTGAGATGAAACAGGTTACTGAGGGTAAGAAACAGGGGCCAATCATGTTGTGACTTTGACCATAGAAACACTTGACTGGAGTTAGACAATAGCACTGACTTAGAACTCATTGTGTACCTGTAGCAATTAATTAAAAGACCATTCCAACTGCCTTCAGGAGCTTACACTCTAATGAACAAGGCAGGCTGAATAACACCAGTAAAAAGATAACTACAAGCCCCAAGTACTAGGAACATAAAATCATGTACATGACCAACTTCTGTTATAGCTGAACAAAGCTTGATACATTAAGGACTAATTAATTACAGAGGGTTTAAACACGTGCTCAACTTCACACACACATACACACACACCCTAAGTCTGGACATTTACATGGAGATAATACATTTTGAAGAGAATTCCAGAAAAGGAGAAGAAATAGGATTTTAGGAGAAGGACTAGGATTTAGTGCTAGGCTCCTGAATAATCCAATGGATTGGAAGCTCCGCGAAGGCAAGGGATGGTGCCAGGCTTGTCCAGTTCCTAGTGCAGCGCCTTGCACATAGTAAGCGCTTTAAAATGTTTGTGAATGAATGTACTGGGAGGGAAGGAGGAGAGGGCCAGTTTGAAGGTGAAAGATGATTTTTTTAAAAGAACATGGTAATTATTCCCTTAAAGAAGAGAGCATGATGAGTTCAGAGGTACAAGCAACACAAGACTATTGACTGTTAAGTGCCGATGCTGTTTTTCCCCTCAGATGACGAGCTCAACCTAGAAGAGGAGGAGAGTGGCACTGGACAAAAAGGAGGTATGAGAGCTTCGTACATGCACAGGCACTGGCAGGACACCGGGGTTTCTGACTGGAGAGAGCACCTTCCTTCTATTATAGGACTCACTAATTAAGAAGATACTGGTGTGTAGGCCCCCAAAGCCCCCCATAAGATGACTGGATAGGGAAATATCTTACCTTTAAAAGCAGCCACCCATGCACTTTAATTAATGTTCCCAGATCAGCTAAGATTTATCCTAGAGAGGGTGGAAGCCAAACCAGATATTTATTTTTTCCTATCAGTATTTCTGAAATCAGTACAGAGGAAATAGAATTGCCTCATCTCTGAGAGATCGGAGGATTGAGAATGGAAAGAATGGAAATGTCTCCTCTCTGAGAGGCCCGGAGATTGTAAGTTCAGAGGGGAATGGAAATGTGTCAGATCTGAAAAGTGAACGTGGGGTGAAGGATAGAATTGCTTGGTGACGCTGACTTCTGATGGCCCGGTTTGATTCCAGGCACACTTGGAAATGAATATGTAACAGGTTTGTTGAATACAAAATTACATCTTATTCATCCCAGACTGTTAACCATGCTTCAGGCTGTTAGTGAACCCATCCTTTCTAAGGTCAGGTGCCCCTCTAAAGCCTCCTTAAGTGGACCAAGGACCTATTCTGTCATCGTCAGTAAAGGACTGTATTGCAAGGGCCACCTGAAAGACATTCATTCCATTAGCAAAGCCTTACTTGTGGCTGATTTAGATACTGGCTGATTTTTTCTTAGAGATTCTATTAAAGTCTTAAGGCTAGGAGTTCTTTTCCTCTTCCCCTACTGCTCCCTCTCCATTTCTCTGTTCCTATTTTTTTTCCCTTTCCTTCTTTCTTTTCTTTTGCCTTTCTTCTCTTTACCCACTCACCAAAGCCCATTTCCTTGGTTCATTCTCTATGGGAAGTGAATATGTAACAGATTGAGTGAAGGACCCAACTTTATAAAAGCCCAGCTTCTCCCAAGGGAGAGAAAAGACAGCAAAGACTCATGCGCCAAAGCAGAAGAGAAAGAAAGAAGAGAGGCGAGCGTTAGTGTAGCTTCAAGTAGGTACCTCATGACAATTAACACATGTGATTCAGTCCATCCTGAAACCTATTGTCTGCTGTTTTCTACTTGCTGCACAGACTTCCAACAGAAAATCTGTTTCCTGACCAACTCATGTCCCACGTATGTCTTTTCTCCACTGACTTCCATCACCAGTGCAGGAAGGAAGCACTCCATGTGGACAGCTTGCATGGAATAACTGGAAGTTTCCTATGGCCAGCATTATACCAGTCTTCATTCAGGAAGCTGGAGTCCTCTGGCAAAAGTCTGAACTTCAGTTTCAGACTCCTTCATCCACGCCCTCCTACCGCCTCTTTCAAAGGTTCTCGCTGAGGGGGGCGGGTGAGGGAGACTTATTTCTTAACTGTTCCAGCAGCTATAATTCAAGTAGTTTTTTTTATATTTTAAAAAAAAAAACAACCTTTTGTTTCTTATGCTTCCTGCCTCCAAAATAGGTGCTGTTAAAGTGCGGTGAGCTCTAAATATGTTTCTATTGTTTATACTTCCCACCAGTTATAATGATTGGTGACTTAGTGATTAAAAACAGAGGGGACACTTTTTGCTCTCCGCCAAATCTGAGGCAGGAATTTTTATTATTTGTGTTTACTTATTTATTTTTTAAATTTATATAGTGCCTTTTCTCCAAAGGAGCTATAGAAACAGCCACAAATATGTAACATTCAAATGTCATCACTTAGCATTGTAACAATAAAACATAGAGGTCCGGGGGCGGGGGAGGGTAGGCAGCCCCAGTGAAGGCACGAAGGTGGCAGGGAGCTCTAGAACAATGCGAATTTTTATGTAATAGACAAGCTACACAAGTTCGGTTCACTTAGTTTTTCTCAGGCGACACATGCCTTTTCGGGGGTGGGGGTAGCTCTTTTTCTCCTAAAAGAGACTATGATTAGCAGAGTTACCTTTAAAGTTCATTTTCCCTACTATTCCAGGGATTTTGTTCCCGTAATGCTGTGCCTTCTGCTAATGGAATTGCTAACATTTTTAAAGCTCAACTAGATCGTATCAGAAGAAGGGAAAAAAAGGAATTCAGTTTATCCTTATTGGGTGTTAATGACCCTGTAAGATGTAATTTCTTTTATTTTATTCTGTTACCTAGAAAATCTATCACAGCCTTGTAGTATTGATTGTTCAATCTATAAAGAGCTTGGTTTACAGCATGACTGTTAGTAACAGGGTTATTTTAATGAGTGACTCTTCAACACCTCAGATGTTCACTAAATTTCAACCCATCAGCCTAACAGTCTAACACTAAGTGTCTTCGGTGATGAGAGTTTATCTCCCTTGCCTGTCACAAGAAGGCAATGTCCAGGTACCCAAAAATAAAGCTCATTCTGCGTTGTTTATATGAAAACTACTGGCCATTTGCTTGGGTCTGCCATGTCAAATAAAAAGCAGAGCTGGAGACACATATCATCCTTAGACACATAAAATCTCTGACTAAGGAAGATCTTGAAATGGTTTATTTTCATCCTGAAATTGTGGGCAAACTCAGCCAAAGAGGAGCCCACGTTCAGTGGTTTTTGCAGGGTGGAAAGAGGGTCACTGCTGAGCATTCTGTCTCTGAGGCATTCTTTCCACTTCGGTGCCTGCCAGTGGAGTGAACTATTACACGCAGAAACAGAGGGAAGCCACAGAGGTATTTGCAGCTCTTATTTTTCGAAACTTATTTCCCAAGACCAAGCATGAGTTGATTATCAGCCAGCTACAATTTTGGCCCAATAAACGGAGCACAGAAGATGAGAATCTGGGTCTGTGAGTGTTCCCACTTCAAGATCATACTTATAACATTAAAGAACATAATAACTTCAACACTCAATATTAAAGAGCTATGAAAACAAGCAAATGGTATTGTTCAGTTTCTCTTCCTGTTCTGATGTCATAGTCAATAAGCTTGGCAAAGTTTTTCATGCATTTCCTTCTTTTTTTTTTAAACTGTACCTAGTATCTTGCTACATTTTTCTTTTTTTTTTAATTTATTGATTTTTAGAGAGGGAGAAAGAAACATTGATTTGTTGTTCCACTTATTTATGCATTCATTGGTTGATTCTTGCATGTGCCATGGCCAGGAATCAAACTTGCAAACTTGGCATATTGGGACGATGCTCTAACCAACTGAGCTACCCATCTGGGGCCTTTTCCTTCTAAATTAGTTAATATGGTATGACATTGAGACTGCTTTAATGGACTGAACATGGTACCTTTTCAAGTCCCTTCCAGTGGGCCACTGCTTTTGTCTTCTTTGTCCCAGTCTTACCAACCCAGGCTCGAGGAAGGACTGGCTTTATGTGTCTTCTCATTCTGTCTCTCTTTTCTATAATTTTTAAGTAGTTGTACCCAATGTCAGGCCTTGTTGGCACAGTCTCTTTGCTCATCTCATGCTGACCTGCCTTTAGCCTCTTTTTCTTGGTCACAGCTTGAATTCTGGAACTACCCAATGTTCCCCAAACAAAAGCCCAAGGTGACATTTGAACTCTGGAAGGGAACACAGTCAGGCTCTGGTGTCCCTAAGGAAGGCTTGAGGCAGAAAGATGTCCTGGTCCTTTCACCTTAGAATTCTCCACATCATACAGGTTAATTTTCATATATTAACTCTATCAACAGTAGCACCAACTTGGCATCAGGTACAGGAGAACTTACTACCACTGGTTATAAAGAAGTTGGTATGGAATGACAAATGCTTTGCAGTAAATACCTAGAAAAGAGAGAAAAACAATATTTTTTTAACTTGGTCTGTTGCTATTTTTTCTATGACATTTTGTTTGCTGGGAGCTTAGGTTCTCTTACATGAGATAAAGAAAATAAGAGGCTGCCCCCCCCCGCTTTTTCCTCTAGTAAAAGTCCTTCTCAGCTCTGCTAGCAATTTAAATGCCGTGATCATATCCATTAGCTTCTCTGTCATTGTAATTGTTGTTAATTATTATAACTGTTTTAGTTATTAGTGGTGTCATTATTGCTCTAGGTCCTCTGTCTGTTTTATGCTGAATATATTAGCGCTTTGCTTTTGAATTACCAGGCTTTATTTAGTGCAAAGTTCGTTTTTTGGAAAGACGTTGAGAAATACTGGCAATAAGCTTTATTCTTTTATTCCAAATGGACAGACTGGAAAAAAAAAATAATTAGATGGAATAATGTTCTCAAAAATGAGAATGAGGATGTTTTGAATTAATTAAATGGTCAGAATGCCACACCATTTCTGGTCTCAGACTGCCGGCAGAGTAGCGTAAACCTAAAGGAACCCCAACCCAGCCCGAAGAGCCAACTCTCTGTCTCGGGCTCCCAATTCCTCACTGATCTAAAGTCATAAAAATCTCCTCATGCATTCACTTGTTATAGGATGAGCTGAGCACATTTAGGGAGAAGCTGGACTGACTCTGCAGACTTCCAGCCTTCAAGCTTTTCCTGGGGCCAAGCTTCAGAAAGAAAGCCCTTAACTCTTCTCCTCTTCAAGATCTGTAAATAACACCCACTCTCAGTCAGGTTTTTGTTACTTAACTAAATCCTTGGGACTAGACCTAGGTTAGGTTTCTATCATACACAGCACCCTCAATTTCTCCTTTGCAGACATATTGCAATCCTAAATAAGTAGGTGTTTGTGTGACCGTTTTATGGTTCCTCCGCCACTGGCTGGTAGCCCTAAAGACAGGAACTGTGTGTGTCCAATGCAGAGTACCGAGCATCTACATCGTCCCCAGCACTTAGTAAATGCCGTGCATTTGTTGAATGCTGAGGAGTGAATACAGTGAAGCTGTGTACACACTTACGCATGAATGCAAACCACACGTGTGCTGAACTGAGAGTTTACAATATGGAATCCAGTACTTACCTGGCATGGGAGATGCCATGATTGACAATGTGAAATCCAGTCTTGTCCAGTTAAGGAGTTCCTCCTCCCTGCTTTCTTAATACCAGAATACTTCTATCTAAATAGCAAGTCCAACCTTTTCCCCATTTTCAGCCCTTCATTCTACTTATATTTTAGACTTTTTTTGTTATGCTTCTGATGATTCCACGTCTTGGGCTAGGCTCACCTGTCTTCTGGATTCCTGAGCTCTATCTTCTTTTGGTCTTCAGCTGGTAAAGAACTGAAGGAGTTTTCTTTCTTTCTTTCTTTCTTTCTTTCTTTCTTTCTTTCTTTCTTTCTATCATACCAAAAATATCTTTTTTAATTTTACGTATCTTTTTAATATTTTATTGTATTTTTTCCATTACCTTTTATCCCCCTTATACCTGCCTTTCCCCTGCCTACAATCACCATGCTATTGTCCATGTCCATGAATCCTTTTTCCTTTTTGCTCAATCCCTCTACACCGTAACCTCCCTACCCCACACTAGCTGTCATCTACTCTCCATCTATGAGTTTGTCTCTGTTTTGCTTCTTAGTTCAGTTTGCTCATTAGGTTCCACATATGAGTGTAATTGTATGGTATCTGTCTTTCTCTGACTGGCTTATTTCACTTAGCATAGTGTTCACCAGGTCCATCCATGCTGTTGTAAATGTTAAAATTTTCTTTTTATGGCTGAATAGTATTCCATTTTTTATCTTTATTTTTTCTTGGAAAGTTTTCCTTTTCCTCCTAGCTTCTTGCTTTCTCTGTGATCTATTGTGCTCTCAGAATAGATCTTTTTCCAGGTGTTCTCCCCAGGTGCCTTATATCCTCAGTACCAAATCATTTTTTTACATATAGAGCCAAAAAGTGCTCACAGTCTTAGGCGCTATTCCACATCCAGGCATGTGAGGAGCAATACCCCTCAATAACCATCTAGTAGGCCAGAAAAAGCCAAGATAACATTGTTGGTCTCACCATTTGGATATGTCAAGTTAGGTTTTAAGTATCTATGTTTATAAAATTACTTCCTCTACCATATTGTATTGATGTTAATATACTCTTCATCCCTAAACTTAGTCAAACTCTTGGGTGATTAGTCAACTCTATTACAACTGAAAATGCATTAATGTGTCTTCTGGGAAAACTACTTTGACTTTTCAGGGACTGATATTTCTCTGTCATTTCCTGCACTGATATCCAAGAAACATATGCCTTGCCCTTTCAACGGTTAGCATTTTTATCCCAAAGTGTTGTTTCTTCCAAAAATACTCTTAACCTTTGTGGCAGAGTGTGTCCAGTGTAGTTGTCTTGTTTGCTGCCCCCTGTTGTCTACTGCACATGCAAACCATTTTCTGTGTAAAGAAAATGCGCCTGAGTTTCTATATGGTTAACATTTTCAATTCTGTTTGCAATATCTGAGTCGTAACTAAATAGCCCTGTCCTTCCTCTGTTTTTGTGCACTTTAAGATTCCTACTGCAGTTCTTTTCCAGAGACATATATAGGGACTTTGTCACCCTGTGCCTTTATTATTTAAATTGCTCTCAAGTTAGCAACAAGTAGAAAAAAGGAAGTATAGCCAGGGCCTCTGTCCCCGGAATGCCTACTTGCCCCCAGTCTGTTCCCACCCTCAGCGTCTAGCACCGTCACTCCTCAATGAACGGTCAAGACAAATGAAGGGAAAGGTGGAAACTGATAAAAATCAGGTCCTCAAAAATCACTTAAATTTTCATTAGAACCCAGCACTCCTGACTCCCAACCGTAGGTGCTTTGCTTGAAGCTCTCATGCACAGCATCCTCAGGAAGGAGGAGCACTGCTACATTATTCCTGATCTAGTGGGCATTAGCTCTCCTGCCATTCAAATCCCCAGATCCTCTCCCACTTTGTACTCTAGTGTTTAACCTTTCCGGGTAGAAGAAGATCAATACAAATTCTTCATTGTTAAGAATCGATGGCTGTCCTGTGGCATCACTGCCATCTAGTCTCCCTGAGCAGCTCAGTAAATCTCTCCAGCTGCGTCTAAAGCTTGGTTTGTCGTCTTGAGTTGCTTTCATTTTTAATGCAGATCACTTTGGTTTCTGTTCCCCTGGGGGCTTGCAGATAAATCTTGGCAGACATGTTCAGGATCTACAAATGAGATGCTGGAAAAGGGCCAGCCCACCCAGAATTTAGTTGTAATGGATGAGACACCCCCTTGATTCCACTTAAAGACTGGGCTATTTGTTTCCATATTTATTGGTGATTACCTCATATAGTACCTGGGTGGGAAGTGCCCAGGATGAAGTTCCTCTGTAACAGAGGCCAACGTGTGAGACTGTGATAGAGACACATGCTGGCTGACTCAGCCTCTCTTGTAAATAGGAAGCCAGAGACTTACCCCATTCCTTCAAATGCATAATGATGAGAAGCACTGATGGTTTAGATACCCTGGATCAAGGAAGTCTAGCAGGAAATCTCTTTGTGCTGCTTACTTACCAACCAAGTGAAAAATTACCTGCCTTACTTTCTTTTGTTAATAAATGAATATATTTATCATATTATTGAATAGCATCCGACTAAGGGTGATCTGTAAATATTTAATGTTAGTTAATGATCTCTTTATCCCACAGTCCTTTGCACATGCTGAGTGTTTAGCTATATCTCATCCCAGTCCCCCTGAATCTTAGATTTCCTAGGGGCAATATCAGATACTGGTTTCCATTTGCAGCAAAAATGTGAGCTCAGTAGAAAAAGACAAGAGTCCTTTTAACTTTGGTTTCTCCTCTCTTTGATCAGCGGACTATGCCAGTTATTACCAGGGCCTATGGGATTGCTGTGGTGACCAGCCAGATGAACTCTCCTTCCAACGGGGTGACCTCATCCGCATTCTGAGCAAGGTAAGGGCATAGTGTATGGGGCTTGGATCAAAACTTTATTTTTTCATTCTTGATGATGTAGTCACCATACCCAGAATTATTGCATATTGTACCCTTCTCTTGTGTGTATTATATGGCTCCTTCATACATAAATTCCCATTGATTTCTAATTCTTAGGGAAAAATTTTAATTAAAAATTCAGACCCAGGAACCAATTTTCAAATTTTAAAAACACAGGTAGACATTATACTAAAACTATGCCAATCAAAATTTGATTTCTTTTTTAGGGTCTTGTGATGCTTAAAAGGTCATCACTACATCACTATGTACATAATTTATTACCATATATTACTCTTAAAAACATTCTGGCTAGGTCAGCTGCCTTCTTATTTATAGATAAACAAGACCGTAATATAATTATGTTTTGGGGAGGAGTCAGAGCTAGCTAGTTCAATTGGCTTGAGCAAGTGCTGATAAGGCCAAGGCAGTGAATCAAACCCCAAAAGGGCCAACTAACTTTATTTTCTTCCTCAGTCACAAAGTTAACCCCTAGTCCAGTTAATCATCTCACAAACAGCGTTGCTGATCATAAAAGAATGAGGGGGGACAGATTATTATAGATCCATCACTAATGTGAAGAAGATTCAGAACTTATTGGCTACTAAGGAATCAGTAGCATCATCTTTTTAATGAAAGACTACACATATTCTGCATTAGGTGGACTAAGGAAGTAGGTCCCTGAGAAACCACATTAAAAAGGTCTCTCTCTGTGAGGCCAATCAAGATACACAAACACAGGTTTTTCTTTCATGACCTTAAATATTATTTTATTTTTTAAATCTTATTGTGTTTTTTCTATTATGATTTAGTGCCCTTATAACCGCCTCCCCCCGCAATCACCACACTGTTGTCCATGTCCATGAGTCCTTTTAGCTTTTTGCTCAGTCCTCCACCCCCTACCCTCCTCTCCCCTTAGCTGCCATCCTGCTCTCTATCTATGAGTCTGTCTCTATTTTACTTGTTAGTTCAGTTTGCTCATTAAATTCCACATATGAGTGAAACCATATGATATTTGTCTTGCTCTGACTGGCTTATTTCACTTAGCATAAGATCCTTCCATAGTGTTGTAAATAGTAAAATTTTCTTCTTTTTTACAGCTGAGTAATATTCCATTGTGTAAATGTCCCATAGTTGTTTTACCCACTCATCTGCAGGTGGACACTTGGGCTGCTGCCATATCTTGGCGATTGTAAATTACACTGCAACGACATTAGGGCTGCTTATGTTCTTTTGAATTAGTGTTTTGAGTTTCTTTGGATATAGTCCCAGAAGTGAGACCGCTGAGTCAAAAGGCAGATTCATTTTTAATTTTCGAAGGTATCTCCATACTGCTTTCCATAGTGGCCGCACAAATCTGCATTCCCACCAACAGTGCAGAAGGGTCTCCCTTTCTCCACATCCTCAGCAGCACTTCTTGTTTGTTGATTTGGTGATGATAGCCATTCTGACAGGTGTGAGATGATATCTCACTGTGGTTTCTCACTGTCGTTTTAATTTGCATTTCTCTGATGATTAGTGATGTTGAGCATCTTTTTATTTGTCTATTGGCCATCTGTATGCCCTCTTTGGAGAAGTGTCTATTCAGCTCCTTTGCCCAGTTTTTAATTGGACTTTGGGTGTGTGTGTGTGTGTGTGTGTGTGTGTGTGTGTGTGTGTGTGTGTTGAGTTTTGTAAGTTCTTTGTAAATTTTGCTTATTAACCCCTTATCACATGTATTGGCAAATATGCTGTCCCATTCTGTGGGTTGTCGTTTTAGTTTGTTGATGTTTTCCTTTGCTGTGCAAAAAATTTTTAGTTTGACGTAGTCCATTTGTACACTTTTCTGAAATAGGCACAATTTGCTCTTTAAATGATGAACATGTGGATTCCATAAAGGAATATTGAAAACCCACTGTGTTATTAACCCATCATTTGCTGTTTATCTTTTGAATGTTACTGCCTCATCTAAGGGTTTGTCTCAATTGGAAATAGACCATAAACTCCTTATGAAACAGACTAGGGCCGACCCAGAGTACCATTGAGTGGTCCCAATGAGTTCCCACCAAACTAGGACCAAAGTCAGACCTTACCCTTTTTAAGAGACTAGGAGGCCTGCAAGAGCCCTGCTGAGTGAGATCATAATCTTCTAGTAATTTCTTCCCGAGTCCTAATTCAGCACCACCCTAGTGCCATTCCAGTGCAGCTCTAACACCAAGAATAAATTGGAAGCAAAGAAGGGAGTGGACATTGGCCTGATTGGTATTTCAAATGCCCGAAAGCAAGGTTTACCGTGTAATAGAATTTGTGTACATTACCACGCTGGCATTATAGGGGTAATCGAGTTATCCACTCAGGTGTGACCAGGCCTCTGTTTGCCCAGAGCCTGCAGGTGAACAAATTAACTGTTTACATTGTCTGAGGTGCCTGCAGCAGGAGGTGGGGAGAACAGAGCCAGACTGTCTGCTGGCCTTCTCTCTGGGTCATGATTATTTTGTTTGTTTTGCATGTCTTTTGCCTTTGTTAATGGCTTCTCACTGGGGGTCCCTTTCCTCCATTTAGAAGGGGCTGTGTGGTGACTTGCCCGGCAGTGCGGTCTGTAGTTGCCATGGCTGTTGTATTTTTAAGAGATAACAAAGAGCATGGGGAGCCTCCCAGACCTGTTTATTTTTTAACCAATCCCCCTTCCCTTCCTCCATTACTAAAAGCTAATATATCAGAATTTAACTAGTGAGAATACCTGCTCCCCTAGTGTTATCAGGCTTCTTCCTCCATCTCTGGAAGGTCATGAGCCCGTTTCGTCCCTTACCATTGGAACCGCACATATCTTCCCCCCAAAGCCACACCAGCTGCCTCCCTTCTCCAAGTTGCTAACTCCTGCACTGCAGAAGAGGAAATGAGAAACCAGAAGCTCAACTGAAGTTTCCCTCATAAAGCTTCATTCCTCTTAACATCAGCTTGGGGAGCCTTTCTGATTGGATTTACCTTTATTATATTACCTAACTCAATAAAAGTCCTTGGACAGGAAGGAACCTTAAAAGGCCACCCAATCCATTCCCTTGCCTCTAAGAAACCCAAATTAACCAATTCGGACAGATAGAAAAGGAGATTCCACTACCATTCTCAGCTCGCTCTCTCTATTCACATGTTCAGTAATACCTAATCTCTGGAATTTCCTCCCATATGGATCCTAAACTCATTCCACTTTAGCCCCAGTTGGCTTCCCCTCTTGGAGTCAGTTACACTTTGCAGCCTGCCCCTTACACCCGGAGGAACAAAACTGACCCAAGTTGAGGTTAGTCAGAAAAATAGTTCTAGAATGCTCCATTTTACTTTTCTCTCTGGATAGTAGAACCTGTGTCAGGCAAGAAAGGCCTGCTGTTTAGGAACCTGAAGAAGTCTCTTTCCCTGAGAAATCCAAGAGACGACTTATCAGGGCACAGCTCAGCTTACCTGGAGCAGTTAATTTCCTTACCTGTGAAACGAGGGGCTTGTGTTGGATGACTTCTGAGGTTCCTTCCACCTCAGACATTACCTGACACTGCAAAACTGCCAAAGAAATTCCACTCAAAAAATATATATTTTAGCTTTTAGTACTTATTGAAATTAAACAAACAAAAGATTCCAGTTATGAGCTTTTTAAATTTTTTGGCCCTGATAAATATATCTGCCCCCTCCCCACCACCTCTCACTGTATGATAAAAGAAATATTTCGAAGGCGGTGGGTGGATAACAGAAATAGCCCCGGGACTGGGAATTGGAGCGGGAGTGCGAGGGGGAGGAAGGGGGTGGTGGCAGGCAGCAGCGTCATTCTTGGGGTCCTGCTGCCCCCTGCTGTTTCTTAATAGTTGCCCAAGTGCAACCCAATCTTGAATATGTTAGGGCCTACGAAGGATCCCAGAGAGCTATTTCCCCTTTAAAAAAAAAAAATACCAGAGAGGATGATTGGCAGGGCAAGAAAGATGTACCCCATACATAACCAAATACCCATCACCTGTCCTATTCTTAGGGAAGCAAGTCTGTAACAGATGGGTTACTTATGTGACCCTGAGGAAAATCACTTAGTCTTGCTAATCCTCAGTCTCCTCATCTGTAAAAAATGGGCTAATTTCTATTCATGGAATGTTGTGACGCTCACATTAGAGGATTTGTGTAAAGAGCCTGTCATCCAGGAAATGGCAACTATCAACCCCCCTTTTCCACTAACAGTAAACTTTTTGGGTCAATGTTGGCTACATGCTAGCAAGTCAATAAATTATTGGTGAATTGAGAGGGAAAAAAGGTAGCCTGTCCTGCCGAGACCTCTCCATGGAGATGCTCAAAAGCACAAAAGGTTCTCACTTAGAAATAGAAGTGAAGAAGCCAACATGGAAGTCCACCGTGCCTCTTCTGGTCTGAGGCTTCATCACTGACAAAATCAATCAGTGGCTCAACCCTCTTTGTGGAGAGGCCAGAGCCATGCGCCCAAGCTCTGAAACAGTGGCCAACGGATGGCATAGTCAGCAGGACTCCCGCTGACCCACCCCTACCGCGTCCTTACATTCCCCAGCCCCGTGCCACATCATGCCCACTTCATTCACTGAGTTCCAACGTGGGTCTTAAAGTATATTAAAGAGGGATTTTAATAACGAAGCAGATCTGTGCACCCAACGGATGTTGATGTTCCCACCTTCCTTTCAGCCCCAGACAGTTCTGAACAGCTCTTCCTGATGCAGGGACTGAGCTCGGCTTCCACCCGGTTCAGGGACACAGCTCAGGCCACAGCGGGGTGTCTAGCGCTGTTCGGTGCCTCCAGATTGTGGTGCTTGTGCAAGTCCCCTCATACGTAACCAATGGCTCCTGAGAGCCTGCCTCTCATAAATTACTTCCCACGATGCCTGCGACCATGGCAGAATTCAAGTTTGAATAGAGCAGGAAAAAGGTGTTTGAAAGGCCTGTTCACTCAGCTGCATTTTAATTTCCTTTTCAATCTTGTCCCAATTAAT